TTTCTTTCTTTCTTTCTTTCTTTCTTTTCTTTTCTTTTCTTTTCTTTTCTTTTCTTTTCATATAATTATTATCTAGTGGGGGAGGGGGTGCGTTCACTTAGATCCCATAATACAGGTTGTACCTCAGATTATGTTAACCATGACATAGTTCTTGAGAAATGAGAAAGATTCCCAGAGTGGAGATGCCGATATTTACAGTAGTCTAAGTACCAGACTAAAGGGTACAACCAAGCGGCCACTTAGTAGCCAGTCTTTTTCTCCAGGTAAGCTGAAACCCATCCCTCGCCTTGGTCTAATTTGTCTGACTGGTCAGTGCACCCTCCAGGGCCGCTGGGTCAGATGATATATGATTACGCAGCGGATATTGCGTAACGTACAAGGCTGTTGTATTGATACTCCTCTCACCATCTCAAACAGCAACTGGATAAAGACATAGGTAGAGAGCTCAAAAGAAAGAAGAGGGGATGGTAAAGGGAGGAAGAAAGGAAGTAAAATAATGAGAGAAAATAAGGGTTCACCTCATGAAGAACTTTCTTTTTTTCTCTTTAATCCATAGGATGGAGCAAGTACAGTTCACACTATACAGTTGCCTTGTAATGGTTCTTGACAAGGTAAAAGTTCTGTGTGACATAGCTGTCAACTGCTCTATTTGTTTAATTAATTCTGTTTCAATCTTTATTTTATTTTATTTATGACTTTTCTTTTCTTTTCTTTCTTTTTTTTTTGTTTTCCTTTTATGCTTGAAATTAAGATGATGTTCCTATTTTCATTTATATATACCTCTTTTTCTTTTTACAGTATGACCACGATGATCACCGCTGCCACCAATTCAACGTGGAACGGAAATAAGAAATCGAGAGGAGGTCAAAGACAAGAGAGAGGGTTGGAGTATGAGCAGGCGATGCTTCTATGAACTCTGCTACATGGAGATATAAACAATGAACTCTTTAACCTCCAAACAAATATCGACCAAGGCGATTCTAATCGTTGTGGGACTGATCTAGGTTAATTGAGCTGTTAAGAGGCTTACTGTGTACTAAGGTAAACTGGGTAGAGGTATGGGCTCAAAGCCTATAAAGATACATTAGTATATCTATACCAAGTCAAGTACGTATGTGTGACTATGTACTGTCAATGTGGGTGCGTGATTATTAGCTCGATCGGGGCTGTCACACGCCATCCCGCGATTGGGTCAAAACCACCAGTTCTCCACGATTGTCCGTCCCGCCACGCCTAGTACTGGGTACTCACTACTAGTACTTCCTACTTTTTCTCCCTCCCCTGCAGCAGTCAATCAAAGTCATCCCCATCCATCGCCCCGCCGAGATGGGCAGAAAAGGTAAAAGAAAAGATGATCAGGGGCCCGGAGAGTTCATTCCTTGCCCCCCAAGGATGATGGAAGTCGGGACTAGACCATAGAACTAGTTGGACTTAGACGGTGGATCTCACTAGGCATGGATCTAGTATGATTCAATGTCTGGGCGAAGTCCAGCTCGTCATTTTTCCATGTCATTCAATGCCATCTCATCTGTAGGTGTAAGAAACCATTGAAGGGACGATGCCATTACCTCATACCCACCCCAATAGAGGCTGGTGGGGTGGGCAGGGAGAGGGAAAGGGAAAGGGAAGAGTCAAGGTCTGGCAGTGGATCAAGTCATCCATCTTTGATAATTAGGTAGCCTTCGAGTATCTTGCAAGGTGGATGATTCCTTATCTTCCTCTCGTATCTGTCTAAACGGAGGAAAGTGCAGTACGGAGTACACACTGCTGGTATAGGCACGGTACCCCATGCCTACTAGTGCCCTGTTGCTAGGTATGCACTGTATGGGCTGACAAGGATACATTATCAGTACGATATGTATGTAAGTGCCCCGTACAGTACAGAGTACTGTTGGAACACTTAGCCTTTTCCGGATGCTGGTCTCTGTGATCCAGATGAAGCCTTCAGCTAACTCTCAGCTAACAGGCTGGATCCCTGTCGTTGTCCACCCCCGCTGCTTCCACTGCTCTGGGACCTCTGGGCAGGAGGTGGGTGGGAAAAGGTAAAAAAAAAAAAAAAAATTATTAATAAAAATTTAAATAAATAAAAAAGAAATAGAGCTAGAAAAAAAAATTAAAATAGAATGGAATAAGGGAAAAACAAAACAAAGATTAAAGATTAACTTAATTAGAATATTATAATAAAGGTATATGTATATCTAGTTCTAGATCACCACTATCAGACAGAATGTCACGTATGTCAATGTGGATTTGAGTACAAAAGATCCAAAGGGTTAGTATATCATACAAAAAACAACAAAAACAACAAACATACACATACTAAAAGTGAAAAGAAGAAGGCAAAGACGAAGACGAAGAAAAGAAGAGAGAAAGAGAGAAGGCCACAGCCTGCTTCCATACTCACCACTAATCATTGCGAGCAATATCCTGTCGAATGTCATTACACTCAGCAACTCTCCTTCTCATTATATTTTAACCTATTCCCTATTCTCTTATTTGATTTATCCCTTCCCTTCCCTTCCCTTTCTTTTTCTTTTTTCTTTCTTGTTCTTTGCTCGATAATTATCATTTCATATGCAGTGATCTGAGCCTTCTGAACTGCAGAGAATTTGAGATTCTCTATCCGATCGACCCTTTGATATTTGCTTTTTACCATCGGAAGATCACCTTCACACCTTATACTTTATTTGCTTGTTCCCGCTCTATTTGCTTCTTTTCTTTAGCATCGATGAATGTCAATGCAGAAACTTCCGAAATCTGCTGTTGACCTTTGATCACTAGTTTGTCTTTGAAGGAAGCTCATCAGTAAGGCTTCCTGTTTTGTGGTCACATATGAAAGTGAGGACTGACGAGTAGACAGCAAGGACGAAGTGGTCCTAGGGTACGGTAACCTGGGCATTGCTTTTTGTTCCTAATCTCGCCCGAGATGGAAACAGCCGAGCCTGTGTCCTATGAATTCCCCGGTCATGCAATCGGCGCTGTTGCGCCGCGTCGGATGATGACCTCCAATCTTGGTCATAACTTTCCCTTCTATGCAAACCCAGCAGCGTCATTTCCACTGCCATTCCACCACTCACCCTCGACCGCTTATGGATTTGGCCATGCACTGAATCATCATCACCACCATCACCACCATCAACCCAGCTATCCTCAGTTCTTCGTGGCCAGCCATGAATCGATCAACTCCCAGCCCGTACGGTTATCGTCCGAGCCACCACCTGCCCAGTCAATTCCTGATATCCGTCCTGCCAAAAATGCGGTCAATCGCGTATCTAGAGATCCGTTGGTCAAAACTGATCCCGGCTCAAACACACAACAGACTCTCATGGCCCGCTCGTCGACCCACGGAGCAGTCACCCAAAGCAAGAACCCTAGCATCAGCGAGATCGAGTTCACCACCGAGGTTGATATACTGATGAAAGCAATCCAGTCCAGAACCAGTGTCCAGCCGCCAAATATACCGTCATTGCCGCCTTTACAGCAACTAACACACAGGGGAGGCCATGGTTATCCCCAGACCTTTTCTCATCACTCATCTGGCAATACCCGATGCACTATGATGGCTGAAGAAGCGAAGTCTCGGTCAGGGAAGAAGCGCAAATATGTCTGTACCCTTCCACACTGTGGAAAAAGCTTTGCCCAGAAGACTCATTTGGATATCCATACAAGGGCCCACACCGGAGACAAGCCTTTTGTGAGTAGGAAGAAGATAGCAACCTGCCGGTGATTATAGCAGAGCTAGTGGCTGACCATGTTCACTGACAGATCTGCAAGGAACCCTCTTGTGGACAACGTTTTTCACAGCTAGGCAATCTGAAGGTGAGCTCACCTGAGCAACAGTCTGTCCTGTTAGGCTGGCGAGAGAAGATAGATTTTAACCAGAACTCTTACAAATAGACTCATCAGCGACGTCATACTGGAGAGAAACCTTTCTCTTGCGACATATGTCAGAAGAGGTTTGCCCAACGCGGCAATGTCCGTGCCCATAAAATCACACACCAGCATGCCAAGCCATTCACCTGTCTGTTAGACGACTGCGGGAAACAATTTACTCAGCTGGGCAATCTCAAGGTGCGATGATTCATGCATTCTAGTACTCGCATAAATTACTTATGCTGTATCTAACTAGTTGGACAGTCTCACCAGAATAAATTTCACGCAACAACATTGCGGGATTTAACACTGAAATTCTCCAAAGTAGCCATAGGGGAGCCCATGAGCCCGCAAGATAGAAAGCTGTGGGAATACTTTGCCGCTCTTTACAAAAATAGCAACAAGGGAATAAAGGGTCGTGGAAAGGATCGTAGGATCTCCCCTACGTCTAATTCAGGACCTGGGAAACGACACCAGGCCCTAGGCAACAATGACGACAAGCTGCAACGGACCAGTTATGAGGAATCATCGGTCTACACCGGGGGTTCGAGTAGTGACGAGGAGGATGCGGATGCCTATTATGTTGATAGACAAAATCACTGAGCTGCACTGGTTTTCCTGTTTGACCCTATTTCTACTTGTTCTTCCTTGGCTGTGTGTTTCAATGTATTTGAAATATTCTATGATACCAGGTTTGTTTATGTTGGATGTTTATGAGAATCTCTCCGCCGTCGGGGTAGCGTTGTCCGTCAGCTTACACAAAAAGTATTCTGTGCAATCCTATTAGTGTCGAGTAATTCTTGGTACAAAAATGTAAGTTCTTTTATATCTGCATTGTTGGTAGGTGAATACCTCACGCGTCGCCACGGGGAGCAGTATCAGAATTGCGAGTGCTTGGCATGCCTCGACCTTCCAAGTGCAGGCCAATAGTGCAGCTGACATACCTCCTGGCCTGAATTCGCATGTGCAGACCTTGGTCAATATGAAAACGCCAGTTCTCATATTCATGGCAGTGAGAACGGTTTTTCTCAAAGACGGAAGCGCATTATGCGCGTGAAATCAATTCGGGTAAATATGCCCGGGTGTTCTCATACACCAGGAAGGTCACCCATGTACTTGGTAGTACCCGCAATATATTTGGCCCCAGACCCTTGTAGAAACCGGCCACCCCCTCTCTGGCCCAGATCTGCAAAGCCGCATCCTGGACCCCCCGGTACATAAGATGAGCATCATAAGTTTGCAACCGAGACCGCAACACTTGGTATGGATATGTGGCAAACCCGGCGAATATCTTCGAAAGACTAGAGATGATGAAGAGATCTAGGTTACCGAGTCCTCGCAACCGAACTTGTGCCGATCCCGCATAGTCGTCGTTAGGCAACGTCGCAGATGACATCTTGATCCGGTGCAGTTTCAACTTTTCGTAAGCCATGAATTGAAGCGCACCATGGCTTACCCCGAAAAGCGCTGGAAGGAGACCGCGATAGAAGCCTGGAATTCCCTCTGAATGATATATCTGTGAGGCACCAGTGGTGAAAGACGCATACGCTCCGGGCGTCCTAGAACTAGTCGATAACATACGAGTCTTAATGACCCAGATAGGATTTGTCAATATAGATGTCAGCACGCCTGATGTAAAGAGCCGATTTGAGTCAGCCCCTACCACATCCAGATTTGCGAGCCAGAGTTAAGGGTTCTAGCATACCAGCGGCCCCCGAGGCAAGAAAATAATCGGAGGAGGTAAGTTCTTCCTCGCGAGTGCTGCGCCAAGTACGCGTCGCAGTCTTGATATTACCATAGCACAAGAAATAAAGGGCCCAGCTGGTCGAGTTGCCAATGATATTGGGCGTCAGTCCACGGTAGAAAGCTGTGACGCCGCCTTCATTCTGGTATATACCGCGGATGACGCGAAGCGAACCACCCACTCGAGAGGACGAGGATCGGTCAACTAAGTCATTCAGGGAAGAGAAGATTTAGCCACCATCGCACACACTCATCCGTCCCAAGCGAGTGTCAACACGATCAAATGAAGGGCAGAAGTAGGGATAGAGAGTTGCATGCGTAAACCACAAGGATTGGCTCACCTTGCAGTCGAGTTTTGATCAAATCCAACGGATGGAGACACAACGTAGAAACAATTCCAGCCGTAAATCCCGCTACGCTCTCCACAAAGGATGACGACAAGCCATCCTGCCCGTTCATGAAATTTTTATTACTCCTCCCCGGGTTGCGTTCGTATAGCTTAGTAGAGTGATGGAGGGTTGGTTCTGTCATCGACTTTTTCGTCTCCTTCGGTCCGCGTATCGATTACGGTTCGGCGGCGGAAGTTGCCTGTCGCGCCTAAATCAGGAAGGTGTTTGAAGTTATAGGTAACAAGGCCCTTTCTCACACCAACGGCGAATTGGCTGCGATTTTAAGTTGGACATCTATCCAGTCAATTAATTCGATTAAGGAATGGTCGGAAGGTTCAGGGCCTGTCGGTTATCCAAGGAGTCTTTATTTTTTTTCCCTTAGTATTCCGCTCTTGCTTATTCACCTTTTCACAATCAACTTCTACAGATCGAAGCACAGCTCGTATATGTTTATCATCCAGAAAGTACCCTAATATAAAATAAAAAATGACCTTAAAAATACATGGTGTCAATGTAAAAGCCCCCAGTCTTCGTCACAGCAAACTGAACAAGACAGAGTTCCCATCAGCCACTCAGCCATGAGCTGAATCTCTCGGTCCTAACAAATTGTTATTTGTATTGACAGATCCTTTGGAGCTCATTCACTTTATGCAAGCGGTGAAAATAACCTGGCCATAACATCAGCTCCAGTTCTGATATCGGTAGGCTAGGGAAGGAGTTCGTTAGAAATACTTGAACAAAGATGGTTTAGGCTCGCTATACGTATAACCTATCAGCTTAATCAGTACAGATAGTTCTCAGAACGTCCACGTCGCAGTCAAGTAAAGTTCCCATACCGAGATAAACAATCAAGGGTAGATATCCGCTGCACGCCTAGTTAGGGTTTATCGCATCTCACGGAGTTTGTAGTGTCGAATGACTCACTAGTGAATAGCGACCCTTGAAACATCAATAACCTTGGAGATGCGCTCCTAAAGAGAAGAAAGATTATGAGCGGTCGTTACGCATGCTTCTGTTGAGGACTGTATGTCTAACCTTAGTCTCTTCCGAAAACTGAACCATTGCGATAGGCACGAGAATGTGTCGGTATCCAAAGAGCTTCACTGGGAAAGATGGTGGTGGATAATAAATCTCAAAAGAGTCAATTCTTGGTAGTTTGTTTGAGGGTAGAATTCCCAAAGCAAGAGGAATGGCTGTCAGTTAAGTGAAAGCGGAGAATAGTTAGCGGAGAAGGAAGAAACATGGCGAAAGCTCAAACTTTTCGGGGGCTAAAACCAGCTGCCGCCGATAAACCAAACTCCGAGATTATTGTATTCATCCTACTCCCGCCTTTGTTAAAGATTGATTCGACCCTTCTCATTTTACCATAATCACTGTCTGATAATCCATGTACCATACTGTCAACAATTTTACATACTATCTTCTAGCTACTTTTTGCTAAGTCGAGTACTAACCGATCACCGCTACGTAAGCGACGCGATGTCCGGTGCAAGGCATTGGTGAGTGACTTTCCCCATTTTAGGAGTTGTGAGAGTTTCAGAGATTCTAACAGCTGCTATAGGGAGCAGGATAAAGAAGCCACCGTCTACATTGGCAACCTTGACGAAAGGGTCACAGATAGCCTGGTATGGGAGTTGATGCTGCAGGCAGGGCGCATCGTTAACGTCCACCTGCCGAAAGATCGAGTCACACAGTCCCACCAAGGTTACGGGTTTGTTGAATTCATCAGCGAGGAGGATGCAGAATACGCATCCCGAATAATGAACGGCATTCGTTTATATGGGAAGCCGATACGCGTGAATAAAGCGTCTGCTGACAAGCAGAAGTCGGTGGAAATCGGCGCAGAACTTTTTGTTGGGAACCTTGACCCTATGGTCACGGAGCAAGTTCTTTATGATACATTTAGTCGGTTTGGGAACTTGGTCAATTTACCGAAGGTAATGTCGAATATCCGCCGTTTCTTAGGGATGGGCGCTAATCTGGTTGCAGATTGCACGAGATGACAATAACTTATCAAAGGGCTATGGATTTGTGTCGTTCGGCGATTTTGAGTCATCGGATGCCGCCATAGCAAACATGAATGGCCAGTACCTCATGAATAAGCAGGTCTCGGTACAATACGCCTATAAGAAAGATGGCAAGGGTGAACGCCATGGTGATCAAGCTGAGCGGATGTTAGCTGCGCAAGCCCGTAAGCATAATGTACGCCCACCGACTCAGCCTTTACAAGCGCCATTCTCAGGTTCAGGGACCCCTATGGTACCCCCGACTATGGCCAATGGTGATAGCTCTAGGCAGATCAGTACTGGTCCTCCAGACCTAGGGATGGGCCGAGGCGTTGCGCCCCCTAATGTTGGTTTTTCGAATGTGCCTCCCCCGCAACAACACAGGTCTGTTCCACCTGCGACACCTTTGGCAAATCCACCACCAGGCTTGCCAGCACGGCCTCCACCTTCACAAGCTGGCTATGGAGGTCCACCACAGGCTTTCTTACCTCCAGCCTTCAACAATGCGGGTCAGCAACCATCTTTTCCTCCACAGCCAGCACCACCTCCAGGCTTTGCTCCTCCCGGCTTTGGCCCTCCTACTGGGAATGCTGGTCCCACACCACCATTACCTCCAGGATTTCAGCAGCCAGCCTATGGTCGAGGGCGCTAGGCATTCGGCTTAAATGCTTTATTTAGAAGTCAAAACCCTACCCAGTGAGTACTAGGTTCACAGGGGAGCTACTTGGACATGATGTGACAATTCATCAAAAAAATAGGCTCGAAAAGCTAAGTGTGAAACGAATACCCTTGGGAACTGGCAAGAACCAGACTCCCGATTTTTATCCAGGGGGCATACCGACCTATCAATAACCCTGACTCCAGCCTGGACTCAGATTTAGTGGAGCACACAACATGTGTATAATGGAACTTCCCTTTTGTTCTCTCTTCTAGTGTTCATGGTTGCACCTTTCATTAGGTGCAGGCATTGCATGAAATAGAACCCGTGGTTTTAAAGCATATGGGCAGATCTCTTGAAACCCAGGTTCCAAAGACAATGGAAATCGAGGCAAGGCTATTTCAAATAAAGTGCTGGGCGAGAGCGCAATCACGATCGTCGATCCCTTGTGTATATATAGCAGGTACTTGACTTTGCGCATTAAAGATATTTATGGCTTGAATAGAGGGTAAATGAAATGAATTTTCGTCTGAAGTCTAGCAGACATATTGCCATGGCCCTCGAAAGTGAAGGAATGAAGAATGGACAAAGAATCAATGGTTTCATGTAATACGGTACAACAAGTGTCTCGTGGCCAACGACATGTTATGAGAATGAAACAAATTTCGGGTCCCTGGGCCGGCCGTCGGGACCAATGTTATTCTTAGCAAAACGTTGCTCGGTATATATCCGGCGAGCTTCATCAAAGTCTATCCTTTGGCGGTTCATAATCTTCCTGATTTGTCGTTTAGCTTGGTTATCCAACCCAGCCCTAGTGTCACCATCTGCAATGTTGGCGGAGAGGTCAAACTGCGTTGATGTCAGCCCCGCCTCTAGGTCATCGGCGAAGCTAGAAGGTAGGCGATCGTATATGTAATCAGGAACTGGGACTAAAGACAACCATCGAGTCCGGGTAAGGTAGAGTACTTTAAACTCGTCAACATGATATCCAGACTCGTAACTACCTTTTGGATTTGCTGGAGTGCAATGTACCTGTGCCACAAACCACAACAGAGATTGCCAAAAAGTATAGAAGATAGTATGCCATGGCAACTAGGTCAGTTGGATGGGTGCGAGGCTGTTCAAACGAAAGACAGGGGGGGATGACGTTAACGGCTTCCTGAATACCGGATGTGAATGGCAAACTGTTGAGAATCTCAAGAGGCCAAAACTCCTTTCTAGATTCATGAATGAGGGATTCTCGGCTGGCAGGCAGCTGCCACCGTCAACAGCATATGATGCTTTAAGATAGTACCACGACAACCCGGTAGCCTGGGAGATCTACTAGTGTAGTAGTACGTAGTCACGGGGAACTGCGGAAGAGGCAAGTGGCTGAACACTTTTCTGCTGCCTTCGATCTGAGGCAGCAACCCTGTTTTCAGGCGCTAATCCTAAAGAGGTCCGCTTAGCGAGATCGCGGACTCCCATTCTTGGCGCTGGCACACACAATTCACGTTCAGTATACCAGCCTTTGCGTTGATTGATTTCGATCCGTCCTCAATCCACCAGCCCGAAAGAGATAATTCACAATGGCCGCCCAAAGACAGAACGTTTCCAGCGACCTGGTTTGGCAGCTCACCCGTACGTTTACCTTTTCTACGCCATACTCAGCATTCATACCTACTCTCCATCCATTTACGTCAATTACTCCGATACCTTGGAAATCCAACTAATCCCTATGGTCTTGAACAGGCAACCAGAATGCTTTTCTGGTCAAGCGTAACAGCGGTGGTGGCTCTCAGTTCTCCCGTGATCCTTTGAACCTGCAGAACAAGCACTCTTTCAAGGTACGAGAGCCCCAAGGCCTATGATCTGCATACAAGGCTGTTTTCAAGTTTCTTATTCTCCCAGCTCAGAGTGGCAATGACTAACCAGTGGTACCATTTGATTTTAGTACGCCGGATACGCCAACACCAAGGTATTCTCGCCCCGTGGCCACCGATGACTTCAATTGTATACCTAGACTTTGTTTTTAACCCACGATAACAGGCTATTGGTGTGCAGCCCACTGAAAACGGTGGCGTTGTTGTTATTACCAAGAAGTCCGGCAATTCCCAGCAGCCCGGAAAGAACGCCGTTCGCGTGACCTTTGGCCCCAAGGCTTCCACTCGCAAGTAAGCAGAACCGATCGCCTCACTCTCCATGGGCTGGATAATCAAACATCACATTGTGCCTTTGCTAACTGGATGGTTGCCACTTGCTAGGATCTACAAAGGTGTTGCAGACAAGACCGCAAAGAACGGCTACCGTGCTGACCTCCGTGAGGACGCTGTTGCTCGTGTGAGCGCCATTCGTCGTTCTCAGAAGCCTAAGAAGGATACTCCTCCCCAGAAGCCCAGAGGTGCCCAGGCCCGGAAGGCCGTTGAGCAGGAGTCAGCATAAATGATAGGACTCGAAAACGAGTAGTCGCAAGGGTTGGGCGCATCGAGCATAGTGGCGCCATGCTGGTCAAGGGCGGAAGCGTCCATGTAATTTAGCAATACTGCTACGGGGGCAAATGTGCACCAGGCCATTCAAAAAGAGATTTGAAGAACCAAAAAGACAAAAACAAAGGAATCACGAAATATGAATACCCCTTCCCCCGGATATCCACCCTTGACTTGTCTAGTCGGATTGACGGGGGAACGATCACACTCTACATTGTAATCTCATTCTCCAGCTGGTGTTGTGCTCACAAGTTTTAGCACGTGCTTCAGAACTCTACAGCCGATGTTCGGGCCGACGGGAAACGAAAGTTTTTGGGAGGATAAGCACACGGCTGCCTTACATTAACCGTAGATATATCCAGATCACCCGCCTTTTCCCGAGGTCTCAACGGCCAAATGGTACATAACCGGGCGATGTCCTCGGGCATGGTAGTAGGATCTAGGAATAGAGGATTTGCCGGAGTCTGGGCCATCGACTTTTCCGGGGGGAGCCGTGAGGAAGTTAGGGGCCTGGTATGGGTGGCTGGGATGACTAGGAATTACCTATTGTTTCCATGGACCAACCCATAGCTCCGGTCGTATTTTGTTTGTGTATGTATGTGTGTATGTATGTAAATGTAAATATCTGACACCGAGACATGCATTCTATGGCGAGGTACGCATGCACCTGAGAGGTAGGTACTTGATGTACTATACAGTGTACATAGTGCTGTGCAGAACCCCCCGAGTATCCAGTGTGCCATAAGGAAATTGTCGGAATCTGTCGAGCAGTAGTGGTACTAGAGATTTGGTGAACTGGTGTAATCTGTATTAGTCAAATGATAATAATTGCTGTGGATATGATGGTCTAGTATTGTTAGTTACTCCGGACTCTGGTTTTCTCCACATGTGATTGATCTTGGGAAACTGTCATAGTCATACCTGCATGGCGACGCTCTGAGTATTTAAGAAATATAAGAGAGGATACATTTATATATATAGGGATTCCCCCCAGGAAGGATTACTACTGGGCGTACGATATCAATCTCGATCGGTTTATACCTGATTACTTCCGTACCCCTCCCTCCCCCTTCCCCACCACCTTTCTCCCCGATTTCCTTTTTCCTCCCCTCTTAGCTTATTTACCCCTCTTTCCCTGCCTTGAACTCAACTGTTCCTTCCTCCATCCACCACCCACATTAACGGGCTCCCTCCGTTTCTTTGTCTTCCTTGTTCTTCAAACTCCCCAGACCGCTAACACATCTCTTCGTTTATAACGGAACAGACCAATTCAATAGTTTGATTCAAAAGCCTCTTCCATCATGGTCAAAGCTGGTGAGCTAGCAATCCTTAGCAGATGACACTCTCCATGGGCACTAACTTGAAGTGCTAGTGGTACTTGGAGCTTCTGGTGGCATTGGCCAGGTATGGATATCCCTATACCTGACTACCCTGGTCTCATTGTGGCCCTGTTTGATGCTGACTATCCCTCTAGCCATTGTCTCTCCTGCTGAAGACCTGTCCCTTGGTTGAAGAGCTTGCTCTCTACGATGTTGTGAACACTCCTGGTGTTGCTGCTGATCTCTCCCACATCTCGTCTATCGCTGTACGTTGTTGCCGTAATGGGAATTGCCCGAGGGAAGGGGCGAAAAATGGTATCATACTTACTTGAGCGATTAGAAAATCTCCGGCTTTCTGCCCAAGGAAGATGGGCTGAAACAAGCCCTTACTGGTGCTAACATTGTTGTCATTCCGGCCGGTATCCCCCGTAAGTCCTTACCCTTTCGTATTGCTCCTCGTATGTTCGCTGGTGGTCGGTTTTCTAATAGCTGATAGGCAAGCCTGGTATGACCCGTGACGACCTCTTCAAGATCAACGCCGGCATAGTGCGAGACTTGGTCAAGGGGATTGCAGAGTTCTGCCCCAAGGCGTTTGTTCTGGTTATCTCAAACCCCGTTAATTCTACTGTTCCTATTGCTGCAGAGGTGCTCAAAGCCGCTGGCGTCTTTGATCCTAAGCGCCTCTTCGGTGTCACCACTCTGGACGTCGTTCGTGCAGAGACCTTCACCCAAGAGTTCTCGGGCCAGAAGGATCCTTCTGCTGTTCAAATCCCAGTTGTGGGTGGCCACTCTGGCGAGACCATTGTCCCCCTCTTCAGCAAGACTACTCCCGCAATTCAGATACCGGAGGAGAAGTATGACGCACTGATCCACCGTGGGTTGTCCCAGAGAATCTCATGAATATCTGGCTGTAAACACTAACTATACTTAAGGTGTCCAATTTGGTGGAGATGAGGTGGTCCAAGCTAAGGATGGCGCTGGTTCCGCCACCTTGTCTATGGCCTATGCCGGTTACAGGTAGGGATGCTACGTACCGTGAAAATACCCGCGGCTAACACGCGATAGGTTCGCCGAGAGTGTTATCAAAGCTTCGAAGGGTCAAAAGGGCATTGTCGAGCCTACCTTCGTCTACCTGCCTGGAATTCCCGGCGGTGATGAGATTGTCAAGGCAACTGGCGTGGAATTCTTCTCTACTCTTGTAACCCTAGGAGTAAGATTCATTTCCTCACATAATCTCCTTTCATATCACGGTAGGCTAACGCTATTAAATAGACCGATGGCGCAGAGAAGGCTAGCAACGTCATTGAGGGCGTGACCGATAAGGAAAAGAAGCTCCTTGAGGCTTGCACGAAAGGCCTTAAGGGTAATATCGAGAAGGGCATCGACTTCGTTAAGAACCCACCACCAAAGTAAACTCGCCCACCCCCGTTCATCAGTTGCAGGATTCCCACTCACCAGTCGGTAATTTGCCATCTATATCGCACTCCTGTCTCCACCGAAAGGACCTCGCACTTTCGGTGACTTACTGTGCAATTCGCGAAACTGAAAGAACCCCGCTAATCATTGATACCTGGGCAAGATAGGCTTTGAAGCATAAAATTATTTAAAGACGAATGGATGAACGTGGAATCGTGTCGCTCCGGTGGAAGAGGATAGCAGAGACAGGCAGAATGGAAACGAATTGTACTCATACCTGCACGAACTCATCTCTATGTACTGTAAGAGCAGGAAGAGTGGTCTGTGACCCGATTGTAGAGCATTAGCCGATTCGGTTACCCAGTCTATCTGATGCTGGGCTCGGTTTTCAGGCCCTTTTGCTGTACTGTCCCAAGGCTATCTCCGCTGCGAGAATGGACATTTCATTACGTACAGGCCAGCTGTTCGCACTCCATTCATGATTTGGGTTGGACTGTTTTGATCTGAAATGTTGCTCCCGGAAGCTCACCCGTCTCGGCCTGAACAGTAGTATTGATCCCCAGGTTTGATAAAGCGCCGCGAATGACACCACACGGGAACCATAAATACTAGAGCTTGGTTAGATAACAGCAATTACTAGCTTATTAAGGGGTCAAGCAACTGATATTCCCATACCGCCTGAGCCATGGACACCGCCTCGCTTCTCACAGACATGCTCATCCTTGCGAATGGCCGGAATGAATTATCGGTCAGAACATATACCCCCTGTAAGAGTTTGTCAGCCAGCCCTCTTCTTCCTCAAGGCAGGGTTTGGCGTGCGACAATAAACTCGTGTCCGTATGGCGGCGTGGATGTGCATACCCGATGATTGGTCTTCAAATTATCGACCTGCTTCTTGAAAAGGATCGTCCATAAGTCTTTGCACAAAAACTTAATAACATCGAGATTATCCGAGAATCTAGGGCGGTCTCGAGAGAATCTACAGAGAGCATAAGCGCAAGGGCACCTAGTTAGCCTGGATCTAGATATAACTGAATGGGCTGGTATTCTTGCCCCCGGCACCGCAGCTTACCTTTCTGCGAGGCCTTGTCCAACTCTGTATCCAAGAGATTCGAGGCGGAAAAATGTCGTTTCCCTAATCTCATCATCATCGGGAATTGTATCGTCAGTTGAAAGTTCCTTCGCCAGGCGTTCTGCCATAGGTACTAGCTCGATTAGGAGAAAATCAAGACATGAAGCGCTTAAAGCCCGTGCTTGTGGCTCAGCCGAAGCTGGAGTATCGAACGACATCACGGTTGAACTTTGTTCGTTGTTGACCCTTGTGAAATGAAGATGGCCCCCGAGATGGGTCCGCAGCTGGTTGGAGCGCAGTAACAGCGGTTATCTTTAGGAATTAGCCGTCGTATCCCATACCCCTCCATAAGATCATAGGAGAATTCTGACTTAATTCCACCACTGCGTGACGGAGAATGGGTGACGGAAGGGATGGTTAGTTGTTACCTCATGCGGTGGCTGATCTCCGTTGACTAAATAGTAAAGAGTGTCGGCATCAAGCGGTTCCGCTTCCAGCCTCAATTGAATTTAGTTTTATTGAGTAATTGTCCAAACGCTCAAGGTAACTAATTAACCCATTTATCTAATGCGCATGAATTTGTCCTAATGCATAGACCACGATTAATGAAACAAAAATCAGTGTTTCCTTTTGTTCCCTCTTGCAACTATAGTTCGAAACTTATGCTTCCCGAGAAGACCCTATGCTAGACGAGGATTTGCTACATTGGGGCCAGAAAGAACAAACGATAAAAGGTAGAGTCCGATATATCCCATATTCGAAAAGGAAGTGAACGAATTCATTCTCCAATTGAACTTATGCAATGTTATCAAACACCAGAAACCGAATGCGCCGCGACACCGTTAGATGCTAAAATTGATAAAGTGAGATTAAGCATTATAGCCACTTGTTTGGGTTGGAGATTCAGAACTAGTAGTCTGACCAGCACGAGGAGCAGCCTTGCCGTTTGCTAAAGCAATGTTGTATGAACTCTGAAATTCTTGCCGGGGTATAGGTCGATTTAGCAAGTTTAAAGCTGGCCGTTTGGGCGGTCTTACAGGAGAACCATCGTCATTATCGTCATCACTCCCCGTAAGGTCAATCACCTGGGCTGCAGGACGCTTGCTTGTTGACAAACGAGCTACAGATGATGTCGATGAAGGCTCCCGTGATTGAGCTGGGGTTCTTTGTAGAGATAAACTCGCGGCTGGAAGAGATTCCTGTTTAACGGGCGTGTTTCCAAGTTCCTTTATCTCTATTAAATCGTCATCGTCTGACTCAGGAGTTACTCCACCAGCTTCTGAAGCGTCGTCGACTTTCGGATTTGACCATCTGCCGTCTGGCTCCATAACAACCTGTTCAACATCTGGCGATGTTGAGCGAAGTATATCATCAACATACCTGTGTTGTCAGTACCAGAACCAGAACCAGGACCGCAACCACAACCGCTCCACGTTTGAACTTACTGGTCGATTTGTAATGACTCAAAGCTGGTCGCTTTAGAACACACGGGGCACGACCACGTTGGGGCCTGTTCTTGCAATTGTAGGAAAGAGTATGCATCAAAGCATTGATTATGAGTGCATATTACTGAACGGCAGGGGACCGCGATTCGAAGTGTAGATAAAGGACACTTCAATGACATGACGCTAGATGTTGCAACGATGTCCGTGTCATCCGCTCTGCTTTTCACTGCTCGCCTTTTAAAATTGGTCCTCTAACAGATACCCAAGAGGGGCGAACATACTTTCTCGTAGTACTTGGTCCTTCGAGATTGTCTTCCTCATCTTCAACTCAGCTACTAGTTCCTCAACTGGATGTCGCTGAACGAGACTGACAAGCACAAAGAATCTCTAATAGCAGGTCAGCACTGGATGCCTGATATCAAAGTTGAGTGTTAGATGGGGAGGAAAAGAACACGGGATAAATAAATCAACACGGGTTTAACGCTTGCCTTTGTAGTGAGGGCATAGGTCATAACAATATGGTTCGGATATCCAGGTTTCTTGCGAATATAGTCAGTCACATCAGCCGGTCTCGTCGTACCTGGTTTGTTTTTTAGTCCTCGCAAGTTAGCCTTCACCTCGTCGAGATTTGCTTTCAGCTCAACTTGGTGAGGGAAAGCAATGTCCGATTTCGTATACTGATTAAGCCCAGTATCTGCAGCACAGTAAACCATTACCCTAAGGTTCGGATCGGCCTGTAACCTAAAAGCTACATCTTGGTTGAGAACCACTCTAAGTTCTACACTGTCCCTAGTCTGTTCGCGTACTTTGCGATATTAGATAGGAACGGACATGGCAAACTGAGGAGTAACACCCGATAACTCACCTTTGCATTCCACAACAGGTGTAAGCTGTTGGAATATAGTGTAGAAAGGACTTTCTTTGAAATTTAACCGGCCTAGAAGCAAATGAGAACTGGCCCCGGAATGTAAAGACATGAAAATCGGCATCGGGAGAATACCAGAAGTGAGCCCATGCGACGTCATTGGCGTGCTCAATGGCGATGACCGGTGTTGTGTAGACAAGGGTTGATTAGCTGAAGGAGACTGATATTGGTGACTAGGTAATGACTGTGGCGTTGAAGGCTGCGGCATTGATCGATGTGCTGTGGCGTACACGGCTCTCTTTAGGTTATCGTACCGCTCAATTTGTCCTCCTTGATTGAGCCTCTCAATGACTAGCAGATCCAAGAACAGTTAGCTTTCTATGCATCTGATTAACCTTCTGTGTGCTTCAAGCGAATACTATGGGAAGCCTCGCTGTCTGGAAAACAAAACCGGGAAAATATGAGGGCAACAGACAGTCAATGATTCGGAGCTGAAGCGAAGCTTTCACTCCAGAAACAGCGAGCCCCTCACTTCTCAGTATCTCCTTGAGCTGCGCGTTCGTCATTGTTTTCACCAAAGCAACCACGCTTTGAAGCTCGGATGACTGGCCAACAGAGGCCATGATGGTAGTAATGGTGGGGCAGTCGGCCGTTATAGCATTCAAAGAGTAAGAAGGATTTCAAGAGGTGATTCCAAAACAGGCGCGCAATATCTGGCGACTCTGATAAAAGACATCTCAATCCTTCTGTTTCCTTAGTTTGGCGAAGGCAAAAAGAGACAAGATATAAAAAAGGTCCAAAACTAAACCTCACTTTAAATTGGTACCAGGAGACTGATTTAATGAAAAGAATAGAACTTCGGTTGGCACACACCCCGGCTGGGATTGCTTTGCGACTGCAGTCGGCGATGATTGCGGAGGTGAGAAAACGGCCTCCGATAGGATGACTTATATCCACCGCCAACTGTAGAGAAGGTTTATGTTTCAGAGCGGCTAATCCAAAAAGGGAAGAAAAAAAAAAAAGACCGGCCACAAGAAGTAGGTGAAAGCCGAATAGACTTCATTGCATAACACATTCACAGAACCCATTCTCTGCTTCTGTCAAACTTCTTAAAATTTAGAATCACACGTTTATCCAAGTATTGTTCTCCTCCTTCTTTTCTTCTTTCATCGAGATGGCAAAGAGTGTCCGAGCGAGTGTCCAAAAGCGCAACAGAGCGAAACTGCGAGCCACTGTCTTTGGGCCAGTTGTTGATGCACGAACTGAAAGACTCTCTGCTAAGCTGCAGGAGCTTGCCTCCCAGCCAAAACCAAGTAATGAAGAGAAATCAGATATGTCTCTGGGCATGAAGGGTAGGCTTTCCCTTTGATTTATTTTTATTTCAAATTTTGTTTATCTATGCGCCCTTGTATTTGGCGAGGAACTCACGAAGTAATTGCGCTATACAGATCGCCAGGAAGAGACTAAGAAATCACAAACAAGTGAAGGTCAGTGTCACATACGCTCTTTAGTCAATTTCTCTGTATATTAAAGGCTCACTGTCTCTAGATATGGACATTGACAACGGTTCCATCAAAACTACTGAGAGTCGCTCTCACAAAGGAGGGCGGATTCATAAACGCCACAGCAATAGAAAAAACCGCTCGTCTATCGTATTCCGTCCACACCAGTCTAAGAACAAGAAGGGTCCGAAGAGGAGGTGAAAGTTTTAGGCACCATTTATTTCATAAACACTTGATTGGCGTTCGGGGTTATCTACAACATCATCACATTGTGTTTCCGTTATTATCAACAACAATTAAAATTTATGAACCCAACAGCGTCACCCAGGGGTCCCATCAATTTTGGTCAAATCTTCCTGCCTCCGAATATGGAGTCAGACAAGGCTAGAGTGTCGCCGGCTAGTTTATGTAGCCTCTGCCGTTCTGTAGCCTAAGAGGCGTTCGTAGCCCCTCTTCCTGCTGGATACTCGCAGTGCTACCTGGTAGTGTTAGGAATGGGGAACGCAGAATGCCATATGATGGATGCACCTCCTCAAACAGAAGGCGGTGTGCTGAATATGGGTAGTTTTTGTATACAGTAGCCGATCGAAGTATAACCCCTTTTGGAGTTGTCACTATTTGCTTGATTTTCATTGTTACATGGACAGTGTAACGAATTCGGACATGTCAGCTTGGGTACGGTATAGGCCAATATAACTTACTTGAAATTGCTCCAGCGTGTGGCAGAAGCCACTGAGAAATAGCCATGAAGGTTGCTACATCGAAGTGGACGATACTCATTGCCAACATACTCGTCCCCATATCGATTCTCGTCTTTTCCTCCGGGTTTTTCCCTTATAAGACTTTGCTTCCGGGCTTCGCAACCCATGAACACACCAGCAACGGTCAAATCCCGCCGGGCGTATTCGACAAAGTTGTTTTTATGGTAGTTGATGCGTTGCGGAGGTACGATCGCAAACTTTACTGAGATCCCCGGTACTTCAGGCTGACCTTCATGCTAGCGATTTCGTCTATTCCCAACACTCTGGGTTTATATTCACTCAAAGGTTAGGAGGAGGAGGATTATCGTTTGACCCCACACACTAACAAGAGGTCCATAGCTTAATTCGGTCAGGCGCTGCTCTTCCATTCACTGCTTATGCTAGCGCTCCAACTGTCACAATGCCCCGGCTCAAAGCCATAACAACAGGGTCCGTGCCATCATTTCTTGATGTGATACTTAATATTGCAGAGGCTGATACCTCGTCGACTCTCATGCACCAAGATACATGGTTAGCGCAATTGAAAGCAAAAGGTGGTAAATTGGTCATGTATGGAGATGACACTTGGCTGAAGTTGTTTCCTGGGATGTTTCACAGGGCTGATGGGACTACAAGCTTCTTTGTGTCGGTCAGTACACTCCAATGGCACTGCCAGACGTGCAGTCATATAGTGAGCTAAGCATCGTTGTAGGATTTCACAGAAGTAGACAATAATGTGACTCGCCACATTCCCAATGAACTCTTGCAAGATGACTGGTCAGCTTTCATAATGCACTACCTTGGGCTTGACCATATAGGACACAAAGCTGGTCCTAATAGGTAAGGTGCTACAACCGCTGCTGTATTTTGTAACATTCTCTTGACACATTTCTAGCCCTTACATGATAACAAAGCAACATGAGATGGATTCTGTTGTTAGCATGGTGTACACAGCTTTAGAGCAAGAGAAACATCTCGAAACAACCCTCTTTGTATTATGTGGTGATCATGGGATGAACGATGCTGGGAATCATGGCGGTTCGTCTGTGGGCGAGACTTCGCCGGCTTTGCTTTTTATCTCACCTAAATTTCAGCGACTCGAAACTCGAAAAGATAGTCCAACGGAAGAATTCAGTGACCTACAATATTACCACACTGTTGAACAGACAGATATCACACCGACACTGGCAGGGCTCCTAGGCTTACCAATTCCCTTGAATAGCCTGGGTGTCTTTATCCCAGAGCTTCTTGCAATGTGGGACTACGGTAAGGGTCCCTTATCATTCTGAGCAAACAAAGAAGCTAAGTTATTACCCCGAACCTCGGCATCAGGACCGCACAGGATTCATATGCTACTCGAAAATGCCAAGCAGTTGCTGGAAGCCGTTAAAGGATCGTTTCCGAGTTACAGCTTTGAGTTGAATTTGATGCCTGCCATTTGTAGCTCTCAATCGTTGACCGATATTGAGCGTGTTCAGTGCGCTTGGTTCCGCGTGCTTGAAATACTCAATGGTTCAGGTGTTGATTACGATAGCGAAGCCTCTTCAGATATCGAGTCTGCCCTTCTGCTGTTTTTGAGGAGTGCCCAGAGGCTAATGAGCAGTGCCGCGAGTGATTATAAACTTATAAGGCTCTATTTTGGGCTTTCCGTTGCCGGCTTTGCTATCTCACTTACCATTTTCCCAGTTAAAAAGCTGTTAGTGAATTTCGCGCCGGCTGGAATGTTTTTGGGGTTTAGCATTCTAGGCTATAGCACTATGATGTTCGCAAGTAGCTACGTGGAAGAAGAGCAGCAGTACTGGTACTGGATATCTATGGGATGGGTGATTTACCTACATGTTAAGTATGCTGGTTACTTCCAGGGCAATTCAATTCACAAATCTAGCCCAGTGGAAGGCTATTGGTCATCTGTACCTTCACTTCCCAGGTTTGGCGCAGCTGCGCTAGCAGTGTCTTATCGAGTTCTGCGAAGATGGAATCAGACAGGCCAGAAATTCGCTGCTCAGCCAGACATTACGGGGTCCTTCTTTCCTTCTCACCAGCATACTTTGTGGGCCTTGGTGATTCTGACGTACGCTGATACTTGTGTGCACCTTCTCTTCAACCTTCCTGCGTCAGCGCTTTGGTGTTTTGTTAGTTGCGTGGTGACACTGGCAGCCTTTCTTTTCAAGTTATCATTGACGGCATCTGACTCCCCCGAACTTCTCGGGAACTCCTTCTTGCAGCCGGTGGCCATGGTGAACGATGGAATGCACCTGGTTTATCATGCAAGAATGGTTCTTTGTGGGATATCTCTTCTCATGATATATTCCTTGTATGCCAGGAAAGCCCACGAAACGACTCACAAGGACAGAGGCAAGTACTGATCTCCAAAGCCTTACCGAATGATCCTAACAGAGAAAAGGGCCACCGAGCACCATCTTTCACGAGACTCTCACTCTTTTTCTGTTGATGCAATCGAGAGTGACGAACATACCCGCGTTTCTGATTTTTAGAGTACAAATCACCATCCTCGCATCGATGCGTTTATCAACCGTGGAACAAACCATAACCTCCCTGCTCATGCAATATATGACATTTTACGCATTTGGAGGCTCAAATGCCATTTCGTCGGTCGACCTTTCAAACGCATATAACGGTATCGGTACCTACAGTGTTGTTATCGTTGGTGCCTTGACTTTCATCAGCAACTGGGCCGCCCCAATATGGTGGGTCTCAGCCAGTAGGCTGCTCCGTTCCTCGCAGAATCAGGAAGGAAATAAGGCACATGTAACCATACTGACTCTTCATACGGCAACAATGTTAATGTCGGTGATGGCGGCGTGTACGACGTTAAGGACACATCTTTTCATCTGGACAGTCTTCTCCCCTAAATACCTTTACACTATGGCATGGGCAATGATCAACCACATTGTGGTAAATGTACTAGGAGAGATCGATTGGCGCCTTTCATGAAGAGATAAGCTCTCTACGGTATTTTTCATGGGGAATCATAATTGCCAAGACAGCTCTAACTCCGCTCGGTGTTCCAATGGTGACGAGTATGATGAGTTATTGACAAGAGAAAACGAGAACCAACAGATTGTAAGATAATGAATTACAAGAGATTATCGAAAAGGTCGTCAATGGCATCCTTTTTCTTCTTTCTCTTCTTATTTTTACTCTGCTTTACGGCGAAATCCGTAATCTTCTTCGATTTCTTCGAGCTGGACTTCGGGCATTCTTCTAGCTTTGAGCAAGGCTTCTCTAGAAATTCCCCCAGACCTGACAAAGCGTTATCTCGAGACAGAACCTCCCCGACATCTTCTGGGCCATCGATCCTAGCGTGTGAAGTGGCCCTACGGGCTTCTGTCTGAGCTGCAAACTTCATTTCTTTGTCAATTCCTGTGGATTTTGCAAGGCAAGCCAATGTGCCTAATAACACTGCCCCAAGAGTAGAAAATTGCCCATCGGCCACAACTGTTGAGAAAGCCCTAATTGATTGTTAGTTATTATGTTCACGTGACATATCTTCTTTTCCGGAGCTCACAGGTAACACCTTGGAAGGACATGGTTCGCAAGGCACTGTATGTGTAGATCAGGAGATTCTGCCGCTCCGCTAGGTGATTGTATACAGTCAAGAGATCGCGCGAGGTTCCAGGTGGTATGCTTTAATACTGACAGCCACTTCCACCATTTGGTCTTCTTATGTTGATTCTTATTGCGGTGGTATACCAATTTAAGCATGGAATGCACGGTATAAATCTTCTCTGCTTCCATTTCGATTATGCAATTTGACATAATAGGTAACCTCACATACAGCTGAAGGGCGTCAAGCCAAATCCTCTTTCTTCAGACCTTGCTCTTTTGGAGAGACTGGATTTCGAAAACTGGCGGGCTATTTGACCCGTGATTATTGCATGGGCCAGTCCTTAGAGCGAATAACACCTTTTCTTTTCTTTTCTTTTCTTTTGTCTCTCTTTGTGTGTGTCTCTTTTTGTGTGTGTGTGTGTGTGTGTGTGTGTGTTCTCCTTTGGATCCTACACAGAGTGCGTTGTTGGACATAAGAACTTTTAGCTCACGGGTAGTTCGAATAAAGTGCTGGTGGGGGCACAAGATACCGAGTATTTAATATTTCATCTCGCGAAGTCTAGACTCTCTCAGATTAAGGCCATGTGAATACTATATCTATGATACATGGGTACATCTCAATAGGGTTATTGTAAGTACTTCACTCAGCTTCACCTTGATTGCGTCGTTGTTCATTGATAAATGCATTTTGTAACGTACAAGAGCGTGGGAAGGACCCGAATCTCTCCGAGAAAGGCTTCCAAGGGAGATAAACCCAACATTCAGACTCAAACCGAGACACCACATCCGAGCCTACCAGGGCGTAGAATGTTTTTTTTCCCGCGGGTCAAAAACGTCGGTTGTCTCTCCAAGTAAACTTTGTACTTAGAAAAGGGAGATGGAAAAAATGTAAGAGATGAGACGAGTAAAGGGGAATGGTGAGGGATGGTGCGGGATGGACTAACAATAATTCCCTTCTTTGCGCAACAGGCCACAAATCAGACATATGCGAACAGATCTCCATACTCATGTTCAACTGACTCTTGTTTTTACCTCTCCTATTCTCTTCAACCCCTTCCCCCCCACCCCCCTCTTCTCTCTCTCTCCCTTTTTCTTTTCTTTTTTTTTTCTTGTTTTATTTTCAACCATCAAGTCGAGTGTAGACTTCGCCCACTGAAGAGTGCACCAAATCACGAGGTCCTAGGACCACCGTCCATAGTCGGATTATACCACATTTTCATGGCAGGGTAAGTGCAAGGGGCACTCCTTAGACCGCTGCCAACACCAGAGGAATGCTTTGGGGTAAGTGTCCTAACATATACAATTTCTCTTTCTGCAGCAGTTGTTCCGCGGTCAAATTGCGAGCGACGGCGACGCTGCTCATCCCGATATTGCTGACCAACTCGCGGAGCAAACAAACCTATGAAATAGGACATCAGGTTAATGGCATTTTATACAGCCACTATGTATCATACTAACCGACATGCTCAGCATTCTCGATACTGCGACGCATTTTTGATGGATTGTCTGGTCCCGGGAAGCGATCCTCAGTGCCAGCAAGAGGTCCACTGCCGGTATGAAAAACCTGGATCCAGGTATCAGTTTCATTTTCTATGTCTCTAAGGGTATACCACGAACCTTTGGACGAAAGGACGGGTGCTCGAGCATGACGGAACTGTTCCGAAATTTTTGCACTAAACAATCTTTTCCTTGTATTGCTGTTTAAAGCTCAGATGACTATATACTCCTCGTAGATAACCCATGACTCACTGGCGTATGATACTTCAGCGACTTTGTCGCTATTAAAGCAGTTCCTATAGGACTGTTAGCACCGTGACCGTCTTGTTAGGTACTAGGGATTCTTGCCAGGTGCGCCCAGCTCGCACATTTACAAACTAGAAATGAGTAAGCGATGTGCACAATATGCTCGAATTCCGTCCGGCCCAGTACTAACATCGATAATATCAATCGGCTATTATTACGTTAGAGATGTTAAATGATGCGTGGGTATAGCAGATGTCTTACATCCTCAAAATTTATGAAGGCGTACCCGACGCTAGAATAACTTTGTAAATATGGCCAATCGTAAGGTTCAGTATGGTTGAGTTCTAACATACTTGCAGTTGTTCGCAAAATCTTCAATGAGCCGTCAGTTCTCTTGCAGAAAGTCATGCACTAGCCATGATTTCTTACCAATACGTAAGTACATAAAGTCATACTTTCCACGGCTTGTTTCATCAACAATAGCTTTGAGCATAGTCTAGTCATATTAGTCAGTAGATTTGCCTCTCCAGCCTCGTTCACTTGAACTTACCTGATCAATCTTATTCGGAATATTGCGGAGCATTATCTACTCACAACGTTCTGATTATGCGATGGACATCAATATATTTCAGGGTTGATACTTACGGTAGTCCGGACATCAAGACCGAGGCGAATTCGTTCGATATCTACCGCGTTCTGGCTACTTACGCGCAATTCAGGGAAACGACTAATTTCATGGCGAGGAGAAAGCAAGACTCCTTCACCTGCCCTAGACATCCAATCCATGAGACCAGCGTGCTCACCAGGAGGCACTGTAGAGCGTCCGGTAGGGCTGAGCTCCATAAATGGGGAGCGGTTCGGACGGTTCGGAGTCCAAATGGCATCCTTGAGGCACGGTGTTTCATATCGGAATAACCCATCTCTTGCAGGAGAAGGACTAGGAAGCGTATAACGTGGCTTATCCTCTATATCTGGCTTGAAAGACGAAACCTCAATGATACACTCCTTTGGATATAGCGTCAGCTCTTCTCATTCTCGCAGTTGGGATGCGTTAGCTCACCTCGACCGAGCTTCCATTGAGTGTAGTCATAACATTTTCCGCATCCCGGGTATTAAAAAACTCAAGATGAAACTCGCTAATGTTCTCTTGTCCAGTGGGCAAGGGATTGAAGGCTTTTATGTCACCGAAAGTTGTGACGATGGTCTCGAGTGAGCGGGTAATCGCGTGCTGATTCAAGGTGGGATTTCGAGAATCATAATAAACAGTTACAAGTAATTGGCCTTCATAATCAGAAACATTGGACAGAAGATTCGGCTCCGTATGCTGTACATATTCCTTGGCTGTAAGAGGGAACACGCGCCATTCGGGTCGAAGAAGTCGGACCTTCTCATTCGCCTTCTTTGCTTCACGGCTATCGGTGAAAGAAACGTATACCTTCCCCATGGAGTTAAGTTCCGTGAGAACAGGGCCTTTGAGGGTACCAAATTCACGCCGCTTCTCCAGGTTAGCAACGATCTCTCTTCCCTCTACTGCTAGGCTATTTTCACCAACTTACGTTGAAAAACCCAGCGAGCGCCATGTAAGTAAGGTTAGTTGGGACATTCTCAATAACGAGAGCACGACTGCGCCGCTCAGAGTCAAATTTCTCGAGGACTGCACCAGATGATAGGCTCCTAAACCCTCGAGCACTTCCAATTGTTTCATAGTTTGATGAACCCTGATCAAAAGGGCTCACAACCCCGCCACCTGTTTCATTTACTTCGGCGATGGAGTCGACAGCCAGATAGCTGACACTAGGAAGGGTACGTGTCATGGACTGGGCCAGGTTGCCGTTGGCCACGGTATCTACCATCCCAACCGGCGTAAAAGCCGCTGCAGTCGGTGAAAGTTGCACTCTGGATGTACTTGTCGGCGCCAGGAATGGATCAGATGCAGCCCTGAGTAGATTAGTAACTCTGGGTCAAAGGCTAAGTCTGATCTTTACTTGCATTGAGTATAGTTTCCGGAGCCCTGCGTCGCTTACCGGTCCATGGACACTGGACCCAGGGTAGCCTTTGGATCGGATATCCTCCGGTGAAAAAGCCGTGAGTTTAGTATCAGGGGATCCATTTGGAGAAGCTATCCCACTTGTGGAGCAGGGGCTACTCATACCACGAGGAGACTCGTTCACCTTCATCTCACGCGGCTATGGCTGCTCTCTGTAAAATAGCTTTTATTTCTTTTTGTTTTCTTTGGGGACACGCTTGGTCTTACACAATACGTGATAGAATAGGCGAATAACAACAGAGAACAATAGGATGGATCTGTAATCTTATTATGTGATATAGGATGTGTAAGGCATTGAAAAGAAATACTTAAACAGAGGTGGCAGCTATGTGAACACAAGACCGCACCCTATCTCCAAGAGAAACAGCTAAGGGGTGCTAGAGGGTAGAGCGATAGCAGAACATATCTTGAGTAAATACAAGTATGGGAAACCAACCGGCAGTTCACTGTATTAATTTGGAAGTACGCTGCATATAGTATCTTTGATTACGTAGATAGCCAGTGCAAACCAAACTACTAGTATTCAGTAGACGCCGTGTAGAATAAGTTTATACTGGCTACGGTGTAAAGATCGGAAACAGCAATTAACCCCCAAGATGATAGTTAATAAGAGGATGCTAGTTATTCATGCACTGCCATGTTAGACTTGCTGTCTTGCTGCAAGTTTTCCTTAGGAGTCGGAGACAGTTAGTGAATATTTCAATTAAGGTAGATCTTAAAGTGCGCCCACTACACAACTTTTTATACACCAGAAAAGGCAAACGCCCGCGTTATCCATGAAGATGTAAACACATTCTACTGGGAGAAGCAATTTTCTCGGGGTATATACAAGAGGGCCATCTGAACGTCAGGCTAAGAAGGGAGAGGCTAAAAGGAACAAGGAGTAAAGAATCTTTGAGCGGGAGTGTAGGTGAACTCAGGTGCCAAATGTTGCGAACACATGATTTATCTAAAAATTCTGTACATAGTCATCTGATTATATTGGCTCACAACCTTCTTCCTTTTCCAAATATACTTGGATTTATAGCTTACCTGGTAGTTTTTCGTTCCGAAATAGAAGGGTAGAAATAGTCATCTAGTGTATGGAACAATATAGAAATATGACAGCTAGTTAAATGGTAAGGAAGGGCCGAGGGATAGGGAATAATACAGAAGAAAAAGGGTACTACTTTTTTTGATGCACTATTACTAGTACTACAGCGTATGTACACTGTACAAGTGGATTAATCAGTAGAATTACCTATGTTACGGCCTCCACTAGGCAGTCTACTAATCAATAGTCTTGTAGAGGGCTGATAAATCAATATTCCATCTTCTTAGGCGCGTATTTGTTTTGTATATGAATAAGATCGAAATTTTTGAAGCTCTATTTTTACCACTAAATCTATATATATTACTAAACAAACTACGGAGTAGTTACATAGTTATACAATATGGACACATTATAGATTAGTAATTAGACATTGTAACTAACTAACATGTTCGGTAAGCACCCTGCGCATGCAAGTACCCTGCGCAGCTCTGTATTCCATACAAATCCACCCTTTTTACTACTTCAATATCTCAGTAACCAGAGATAGTAAAGATACAATAATAAATGTATAATATAGTATAGGGTAAATAAGACTATTGATAATTTTTTTATTTTTTTTCTTCTTAACTTTACCCTATAAAGTGGAAATATTAAAAATACAGCTGTAATATTCGATACTGAAAGAAGTATTGTTAATATAAGCTTCTTTACTTTATATATTAATAATTAAGTACTATTATATACTCTTCTTAAATTTTGGATTATTATAGCTTGTGGTTGCTGAGATATTCAAGTAGTAAAAAGGGCGGATTTGTATGGAATACAGAGCTGCGCAGGGTGCTTACCGAACACGTTACCCCTAGTTATAACTAGACTTGTTTCTTAATAGTAAAGAAATTATAACCTTTTAAAAATTCGAGACTTTTTAGTAGGTACCTTAAGATGAATTAGATTTTAGCCAGTAACTCTGTTGACAACCCCCCCCCCCTCCCCCTCCGGCTTTGATAGGACCTGAAAGGGAGTTAGAAATTAATAAAAATCATGTAAAGCGGCAGAATATTCTCTGACCCCAAGCTGCCTTTTCCGCCCCACCCTGACCCCCCAGCCACTAAATCCTGACCCCCTCGGAACTGGGACCCCATCATAGATGCAGCAGAACCCCCTGAGTTCGCTGAGGTAAACAGCACTTAGAACTAACCATGTTAATGACACTATACCCTAGACAGTAAGGTTAGATTGTAGCTGAGGTAAGACTACTCCGTGCACAAGCTAGTTATCCACATGCCTTATCCTAATAGGTATAGTACACTACGGACGAGAGTACCAAGGTACAAACAGCAAATCAGTTGGGTTATCTCTATACTGCTGTCCTTCATCCTGTTCACTTCTCTGCACCCCACTTCTTGCAAATGCTCAAAATATTTGACGCCTAAATTAAGCTATCGCCATGCCTTCTATGGTTTCTTCTCGCAATGAATCCGCATATGTTCTAAATCAGGTCAGATTCTGAAAATGAAAGTTGGTGGCCACTCTAATTCGTCTGGACTTATCAGATTATCATATCACCTTCAGATACGGATTATCTCGACCAGTTGATTCCTTCAATAAAGGAATATAGCGTGGGCAATCGAACTCCACAGTTACTACAGTCCTTGTCTAGGTTTGCTAGCGATAAGGAAGCTGAAATAGAAACCATCTGTAACACCAATCACCAAGAATTCGTCACATCAGTCAATCAACTCCTCCGTATCAGGGAAGGTACTGTGAGCCTAACAGCCGAAATCTTGGACTTAAATCAATCCATTCAAGCTAGTACTGAAAAGCTAGCTGAACAGAAGAAAGCTCTAGTTGAATCACGGAGCCACCGTCAAAATATTGATGAAACCTCCCGTGCTATTCAAGATTGCTTGGAGGTTCTCCGCCTCGCGAACCAAATTCATGATTTGTTAGCGAGGAAAAACCATTATGCAGCCCTTCGAACCCTTGATGAGCTCCAAAATGTTCACCTCAGGGGCGTGACCAAGTACAAAATCGCAGACATCATTCAGCGCTCAGTGCCAGCAACTCAAAAGGCCATAGCTGAGGCAGTGATGTCTGATTTAAACACTTGGCTATACAGAATCCGCGAGATGTCGCAATATCTTGGGGAAATTGCCTTGTATCATACAGATCTCCGTAAAACGAGGCTGAAGGAGAGGGCTGACAGGACGCCATATCTGGGTCATTTTAAATTAAATTCCGCCATTGAGCTTGTTTCTGATGAACATGAGGAATATGACCTCCTGCAGAACGAGGAACTACAAGTCGACTTCACGCCGCTGTTTGAATGCTTACACATTCACCAATCTCTTGGACATATGGATAAGTTCAGGATTGAGTATGCCAATACACGTCGTCGACAAAAGGAGCTATTGATACCTGCATCAATAACTCTCGTTGACGAGGATGGCGCAAGTCTACATAACCTTCTTGAAGAGATGGCAGGGTTTGCGATTGTTGAACGATCTACAATGAAGAGAGTGCCAGAATTACGATCTCCAGTCGATGTGAGCATTATCTCTTGTACATGTCTTCTGAGACAAGAAACGTAACTAATTCTTAATAGGTAGATGAACTCTGGGATTCTATGTGTCAAACAGCTGTGAACCTGATATTGAAGGCTCTTCCCGAAGTCGATAATGCCGAGAATTTGCTGAAAATTAAGAATCTGATTGCACTGTTCATGCAAACAATGAATGTCTGTTTCCCATCTGGGTCATTCACCCCACTAACTGACGACACTAACATGATTAAATGTAGAGTTGGGGTTTCCCTGTTGGTGTCTTTGACAACTTCTTGCTCACTCTCTTCAAGAAGTACGCTGAATTGCTCAAGAAGAGGTTCAGTGACGACTTTCAAGAGGTATTTCTGTTTCACCTTAATACTACTTGTCGCTGTACTCAAGTCATCAAAGATTGTATCCACAGATGATTATATGCCTATGCCCATCCAGACGCTGGAGGAGTTTGACAAAGTACTCAATGTTAGCTGGTACACGCCTGAGAAGCCACAGGAAGAACAAACGTACGTTTATATACCTAGTCCTCACTTATTTTGGCTCATCGACACTAACTTGTTATTCCAGTTTTCCATGTGTCTTGCCATTTTCTCAGATGTATCCCTTATGTTGCATTGACATTCGGAATTTTCTGAATCAGTTCTACTTCTTTGCCAACGACGATTTCTCCCACTCAAGTGTTATCGACGAATCCCTCAAAGATGTAAGTCTAACATAAGTAAATGCCGCAAAGGATGCTCACCAAACATGGCTAGGCACTCGATGAACTTCTTTCAAGCAAAGTTTGTGATACATTGGTTGAACGCCTTGCTTCTCAGTATTTGGGGCAGATCGTTCAGATACTCATTAATCTGGAGCATTTTGAACTCGCTTGTCATGAGCTCGAAAATCTCCTTGCAGCAGCGAGGTCTCACAATTCCATGGGTGGTCCCATCACCCTCAAAGCCACCGAAAAGTTCAGGAACAATAAAAAGGCGGCAGAGAAACGTATTTTTGAGGTGGTCAACTCTAAGATTGACGACCTCATTGAAACCGCAGAATATGACTGGATGGCTCCTGTTCCGCCTACAGAACCGAGCAACTACATGCAGACTCTAACCCGGTTCTTATCCAATATAATGAATTCGACATTGCTCGGGCTCCCCACCGAGATCAAGGAGCTTATTTACTTCGATGCTCTTAGCCATGCAGCAAATATGATTATTGTACGCACTTTAGAAAGCCTGTATTATTTTTCTTAGACTCTGCTGACCTTTCGTCTTAGGCGCTTCCTCTTGCCGCAGATGTAAAGAAGATCAACCCGAATGGTGTCATGGCTCTTGCAAAGGATGTTGAATACCTCTATCACTTTGTTGATAGTCTTGGTGTACCTATCCTCCGGGAAAACCTCGATGAGCTCCAGCAAACTGTGCAGTTGATGCAGGCGGATAATACTGATGAGTTCTATGATATTTCTACTCGGAATAAGAAGTATGGCCGCGTGGACGCCATAAACGGCCCAGTCCTACTGGAAAAGTATGTTTTCACAAACCCCATAATAGCCAGACATACTAACCTATCCAAGGTTGGTTCGCTCTATTCAAAGTCCCGTGAAGACTGACAAATTCACAACACTTTCTTCGAGATTCGGAAAGAAATCCTAGATAGGCCCATAACTGGGCTTGGGTAGACTCCTTATAAAAGCAGGCGCGGGATGTATGATAGAATAAATGTAAACATATACCTCATTTCTCAACGCGTATTGGAATGAGATGATTTATGGTGTATTTGGAGTCTGACTACACCAAATAATCACGTTACCATATCTTTCAACCATTTAGACAAATAGACATCACCAGCCTGTCACGAAAAATAACTCCATTATGAAGATCAAAGCCCGAGTCTCGCAAAATAAGGAACTACAAAAACCAAATGGGTAATGTACGCTTGTAACGCGCACCTCGATCACTTTCAAGTAGGAAATTATGATTAGCCGGACAGGATTCGTCAAGGATAATTCTGCGTTAAACTATCCCACAGAAGTATGAAACTGAGAAGGTCTGCGACATACCTGCTGAGGCGGTAAGTGCGGGTAAGCGGCATACATTCCTTCAAACATCTGAGACTGCGGCTGGCCATATGCTGCCGTCGGATCCGATTGCACAGGTCCCGCATACATAGCTGGTTGACGATATTCTTGGTCTTGAAGACCATGCTGGCCCAAACTGTAGTCGGGGGGTGCCATGTGATGTGAGGGGTGCTGTACCCCGTGTTGAGATGGCGGAAGTTGTCCTCCAGCGCCTGTAGGCCCAGAGGCCCCCGAAGGTGCACCTGCTGCCTGACTAGATCGCTTTGCGTGCGACGTGGCCTCCTCACGGGGAACTATGTCAATGAGAAAATCGAACATGTCGGATTTCGAGAGGGCTGCAGCAATATCTGATCTCTGCAGAGTGCGCCGCTTGTTGTCTTCGGCATGAATCCAAGCTCGCATAGTCAGCTCAGTAATGAATATATCACAACCTTTAGCAAAGAGGATTGGTGCCTCGGCTGAAATCATTTTCACCTCTGGATCAGCTTTCATGACCTTCTTGATACGCGCCAATGGCAATTGGTGGATTTTATAATCATGGTTGTCTGATTCGAGGTGGTTGATGATATGTTGCCAATACGTTGTCAGAATATCACGAGCCGTGCCTTGCAAGCCTTGATTGACCTGGTCCACATTAGTACTCTTTTCTGGAAGCATCTACTTGAATGAAACAATACCCACATTCGCCCAAGTACCTGTATAAAGCTCAGCTACAGGCGCATATCCCTGTGCGGAAAGCTAATACATGACGAGTCAGGCAACTACAGACTTGATGAGTGCATCTACAATCCTTGTTGGTAGGACATACCGCTGCGCTAGCACCTGAACATCCAAATTAGCGTGGTGTTTGCTGAGGTGCCTCTTAGAATCAAGTAGAGAGAAGTGTTCTTTAAAAAGAAGAGACCCGTAGGTTTTGAGGGATGATTACCATAGTGTCCACCGTTTCTAGTATCATACACAGGTTGCTGTCTGCCCTGCTGCTGGCTAGCACTTTGGTTGGATTGTTCCATAGCTATAGACTCTTGTATAGAACGGTTGGTCGGCCACAAGCATGGACTGATGATATATTTTGGACTAGGCTGGTATCGGATATGGTGGGAGGTCTGTTTTTGTGGATTGTTGAGCCAACAGCTATGACGATGAATAAATGGATCTTGAGATGAGCTGCAGGGTTTTAACCAACTAAAGTATTTATTCCACGGTTGCCAGAGGCTATGTAGTAGGAGAGGAGTAATCTAATAAATTAGAAAAGGAGGCTGCTGCGTGGTCCTGTTGCTACGAGAAGATGAGGTTGCGCGCGGTACTGTCCAACGGGTCGCCTGAGCAGCAGTAGCGCGTAGGCAAGCGCCCGCTAAGCGTGACGTTTTGCAAAGTACCTCAACGCGGGGAATCCGCCACCACGACCACCAACAATAACATGAAAAACAGCAAGTAGGAAGGGAAAAGGCAAATGGGTAAAAAGATTGCTAATTTATATCATTACCCTGTGTATAGTTTTGTTATATCGGCAGTGATACAGTTTAACACCTATTCTAACGACTCGCCCCAAATTATTGAGGATTAACAAGTCAATCGTGCACATTGTTTTTGTATTGTATTATGGCTCTACCTACTGTACTGGGTATACACAGTACTGTCTATCGGGTGAAGATATGGCGCAACTTATTTGTATATATGAAGTACTCCGTGATATATCAAGAGTAAATGCATATCTTTGGCGCTAGAACTCGTGTAACACGGATATCTATAGCCTTGGTCAAACTACCACAAAACGTTGGCTGCAATCCTCCACTTTTGCCTTTACACACGATATATAAGGATAAACAAAGACTGAATCCATACACCTGCAAGGAGACAGACGGAGAGAAGTTAAATGAAGAAAAGAAACTAATAAAGAAAGATACGGGATAACTCTCTTCTGAGATAAGCTCCAAGTGACACAAAGAGCGCCTAGCATGAGAGAGACATGGAAGGCTGATAATGAGGTCTGCTCCTATACCCTGCAGATTAGGAAAACTGGAGATGATTGGACACGGATCTAGGTATCCTCCTGAAACAAGTAGAGAAATGACCTTTTCGCCGTTGTCCCTTACTGGTTATATTGTCAAATGCTAAAAGATATCGTAAAAGTGGATATTCTGGGACATTTATTCTATACTCATGGTGCCTTGCATCATTTTCTTAAGACCATCAAGTACTAGGTAACTAAGGGAACTTACCTAGTTAGTGCTAGTTTGGTTTTCCACCAAAGCAGCCCCACACAAGAAAATTTGCAGACAAGAACAGACTAGTCCGCCTATATAAATACCAGCTGAAAATTCCAATTTTCTTCTTTTCTTTCCCTATTTTATTCCTTCCCCCTTCAAAGCCCACACAACATCTCGTTTGTATTTCACCATATTCCTTCCAGGACTGGAGGACATGGCTCAAACAACATGTGGTGAAGCTGGGGCCATCAACGGTCTTCAAGAAGTCGATATCACAGATCATGATATCGAGCAGCTACTTTTCGAGGCGGAAGGCCGATTACGTGCTCAAGATGTGAACTCCACTAACATCCCTGATACCAGAGAGGCATCTGGTGATCAGCCCCAGCACACTTTGTTGAGGTATGTAAAGCTTACTAGAATATTTCCTAAGATACCTTACAAGCAACCATGCATGTCTTCCAGAATCACGGCTAATGTATAAGAAAAGCATTCCTAAGTTGTCCTCTGATTGTTCCCTGCAGCCTTACGTCCTGCAGAAGGGGGATATTGCGACAATCGGTAACACACGCGTCCTAACGAACGTGCAGGATGCAAAGAATGGTCTTGGCTACAAGGAGCCCAAGCAACCGGAGGTGAAGAAGGTAAAACGCATCCCGTTCTCATTACTGCCTATTGCCGTTATTGCCATGAGGAAAATTATCCCTTCGCATAAGCACTTGATACAGCTTCAACAGCCCGTACTGGGCTGCGCTGTGCCAATGAGAGCCAAATTTTCATAGTTACTCTGAGCACCTTTGCCAAACAACCGTCATTATAAATTACCCAAGCTGGATTGAGAGCTAACAATATGGTTGTATAGGATAAACCTACGGCTGGCAACAATTGGTTCGACCTTCCTCAGACAGATTTGACACCAGAATTGAAAAGGGATTTACAATTGCTCAGAATGCGGTCGGTACTGGATCCCAAGAGACATTACAAGAAGGAAAACGGTAAAGCACAGCCGCCTAAATACTCTCAAGTGGGAACTATCATTGAAGGTCGAACCGAGTTCTTCAGTAGTCGTATTGCCAAGAAAGACCGCAAGAAAACTTTCGTGGAAGAAGTCCTAGACCAAGAGCGGCACAACAGGCGATTTGAGTCTAAATACAGAGAAATACAAACCAGCAAGCAGAGTGGCAAGAAATCCTTTTACAAACATCTGCAAGCCAAGAGAAGAGCAAAAGGCAAGTGATAAGACCGATGCTACTCCTACAGGGATAGTTCTGGAGGCCGTTATATTGTGAGACTCTTGAACCAGTCCTGGCATGCTTTTAGGCATGGCCAAATGAACGGTTCGCAATAAACTCGGCGAATCCGAGCATTTGCCCCTTGTCTTACTTCGAGCCACCCAAAGTGCAATTGCACATACTAATCGCTTCTGAACGCACCCAATATAGCTCGCACTACAACCATCTGGTAGGCGTTAGTTTCAAGCATGATAAGGGGTATCATCTGGGCGCGAACCTGCATATCAATGGCTGCTGAACGACCAGCCTCGAGCACTTCCTCATGGTTTGCCTTGCCCTCCTGCAAAATAGCATCTAGCTCTTCAACACCCTTTCCTTGTAAAAGACGATCGTCTCCACGAGGAACAGGCGAGAGAACGGCACAGTTTGTTACCAAACTAAGTGCTAAGACTCTAATACCACAGTGTCTGGCGACAACAATTTCCGGTACAGTTGACATGCCAACCACATCTGCACCGAGTTTGTGAAGCATGCGGCATTCGGCCCTGGTCTCGTAACTGGCCTGTTTTAGAATACGATGCCTTGCAATGGGGTACAACCTGAGTACTTACCTGGGCCCTCCAACATAAGCATACACGCCCTCATGCAGCCTTCGTTGGTTTTCTGCATGCATCACCTCACCCCAAGCTGTATGCACGTGACGTCTAAGTTCGAGGTCGTAAGCATCGGACAGAGGGGGGAAACGAGGACCGAACTCTTCGGCGTTCGGTCCTCGGAGTGGATGAGTGCCTGCCAAACCGGCCAGGAATATATGCTAATTACCTATGTTAATGATATTTGGGGGGTTGGGAACTAGCGAAAGGAACAAACCCACATCATTGAGTAACACGATGTCGCCAACCGCGTACTCTGAATTCAAACCTCCCGCAGCATTAGTTACTGTTAGATACGGTTGTTAGCGAAGTTGCATATACTGAATGAATTCAAACTTACACACTATGGTATCAACCCCTAGCAATTTGAAAACTCGAACAGGGAATGTCACTTGGTAGATGGAATGACCCTCGTAGTAACTTTGAAGGACGCATTTGTACGTTGGCCAGCTTTTCTCATGCACTAGTCCAGGAAACTTACTGGGCACGCCCAACCATCAAAACAACAGGTAACTGGTCATCCAGAAGGCCGAAGATAAGTTTTCCTGCATGTCCAGGAACTATCTGGTGAATGAGTATGTGGAACTCAATGTAGAGCAGGCTCGTTGCTCACCTGTTAGACGCGGGAAATGTGGGATAGAAGAATAATCAAACTCTGCCCGTGGCTCATCACGAATAGTATTTGCCAGGCCTCCCAAACCAGAGCCGCACACAATTGCAACTTTAGGATTTTGTAGGGAGACTGGTAAATTCTTCCTTAAAAAAGAAAACGCTTCGTGGACTCGTTCAGACGAGCACAAGTCTTCCGATGGGCAATTCATCATTGGTCAAATACACAGCAAGTCCAGAATCTTCACTCTGTTAAATCTATCTTGGAGCTAGGTATGGAATAGAAAAATGGGTGACCGGTGCCAAGAAGTGGTGGTGTACCAATCATGCGTAAGTGTTGTGACGGAGTACGCATAATCTTCCTCCTTTCTCTGTACTGATTCTTACTCCGTTCCTCCCACACTTCTACAATTATCTTTTACATCCCAATTCCCATCTTTACCCTTCAAATGCATATATTGCCTTAGGCATCAGGTTCAGGGACTAGTACGTAGTACTTGGTGCTAGTACTAGTAGTAGTATTAGAAGTAGTACTCCGTAAGAGTACGAAGAAAGGCGGTAAGCAGTCAAGCGAATCATGATGGTAGCCTGAAATCTCAAAAATCAGATGGAAGGGCAAGCCACAAGACACTATTATAGCATCATCTTTCCTAACACTTCAAGCTAATTAAAATCAGACTTCCTACTTCTACTTCTTGCTCGATGTACTAAAATGTCATCGCTCTTCAACCCTCGTCTGTTGGCAAGGACTGGCAAGCAATCGCTGGTATTACTTGCTTCACCTAGTACATCCCGAGTGACAATGCTAATAATTCGACTTAGTTCGCAGTGCCCGCTCGCAGCATCACTTTGCCAAGTAGCCCAGATGTTATTGATAAATCAAGTTCCAACATACCCCAGAGCGTAGCGGAAATATCACCGCTGTAAGTTGCTCCTGTATAGTATTTGACGCAATCTCTGGCTGATTTTTCGAATATCTCTAGCTCAACGAAACGGGAGCAACAGCCTACATCATATACAAAAAATTGGTCAGTCATTACAATCCATTCTCAAGGATTAATCACTAGGAAAGACGTGCGCTTACCCTTGCAATAGGGCCGAGCGTCTGGACGGTATCAACTCTAAATCCCGGCTGCCACGAAGCGTGCAAGCGGTGTATTTGCGGCCTCTCCGAAGGAAAGCCGAATACGGATTACCGGTTTGCGATCTTCAACTTCGATCGTATAGCGTTCGAAATGTGGAGTTCTTCGCTGATTTCGCTGTGCGTGCCGCCTACTACTTAAAGCTTCCTGTCTCTGGGCCTGTGCCTCTACCACGCATCGTTGAACGTTGGACATTCCCTCGAAGCAATTTCGTGCACAAGAAAAGCCAGGAAAATTTCGAGCGGATTACTCTTCGCCGACTGATCCAGATCAAGGATGGCAACCCTCAGGCTGTACAGACGTGGCTGGCATTCTTACGAAAGCATGCTTTCTATGGAGTAGGCATGAAAGCCAATGTTTGGGAACACGAGAGCCTTGGTACGCTAGAATCCTTCTACTCCATTTTTATCTCTTACTCTATAGCGCCCTAGAGATTAGTAACTAACCCATGTCTACAGACGTGTTCAAGAATATAGATAACGCAGTCCCTGAGGTTGAACGGTCCCTTGAGCCTCATCTATCACACTTCGGTCAACGGGGTGGTGAAGGGACGCAGAGTTCAATACCTGATCATCTGCGTGACATGCGACTTCCTAAACACAGAAGTCCGCTAAGTAGCGTCCGCGAAGGCTGGAATTAAGCCAATAATTCCCTGTATATTTTGCCATTTGAGTGCTTCTCACGTCAATCTTTGTATTTCTATTTTTACCCTTAAGTATTAGTCAGATAGGTTTAGCACAAGACTTCTCAGCACATGTTGGTTGTATCATTTTACACGATAGGCTTGCTTGGATCACAGTTGTTGCTTCGAATAATATAAACATAGGATTCATATCATGTGGTAATGGCAACTTGTCTCACTGAAAGCAACACAGAAAGTAGCGAGTCACGTGTCAAACACATACATTGAACGGCTGTTGTAAGGGAACTTGGGACAAATGCGCACCAATGCATTCACTTTTTTTCTCGATTCTCCAAGGTAGCCACTGGACATGCATGTCAGCCGCTATGCATCATATAGCCCAAGCGCTCATAGAGCAACAAATGCCCTCTTGCAGTCGAGGGATATTAAGTTCAATATGAAAGGTTATCTCCGAAGATGGGGTAGCTCAGTTACAGCGCAGCCATCACCAATATCATCTAGTCAGACTATATTCTCTGGGATCCAACCAACTGGTGTGCCGCACTTGGGGAATTATCTGGGCGCTTTGCGTGAATGGGTCAGGCTACAAGATAATGCTCCCGAGGGGTCGAGATTGTTTTACTCCATCGTCGACTTGCATGCCTTAACTGTACCACAAGATAGTTGTCAGTTGAAGAAGTGGCGGAGGGAGGCGTTTGCAACACTGCTCGCTGTAGGCTTGAATCCCGATCGCTCAACCATTTTTTACCAGTCGGCTGTACGTCCGTTATGCTCTACTGGAACTCAATGCTCTACACTCCCATCATAGCGCTCCCATTAACTATGGCCAGGTTCCTGCTCATACTGAATTATATTGGATCCTGAGTACGGTAGCTTCTATGGGATACCTATCACGGATGACTCAATGGAAGGTGAGCAATAGTGAGCATTGAAACTTGAGGCGCAATTTGTCTTAGAAAGCAAACAGATGTAAATCTTGGATATGGACCTTGAAGTTGACTACGTATAGAGCAAGTTGCAACTGCCAGAAAGCACAAGCCTGGAGCATTCAGCTGCCAGGTCTAAGCTACGGCTTGGCTTATTTTCTTACCCTGTATTACAGGCAGCGGACATCTTAGTACACAGGTTCGGTAGCTACTTACAAAAGGTGAAGCTGTACTGACACGGGCTAGGGCTACTCATGTTCCTGTTGGGGAGGATCAAAGACAGCATCTTGAGTTTTCTAGGTATACTGCTAATAGTTTTAACTACCTCTACGGCCATATATTCCCGTCTCCAGAGGCACTCATCTGTAAGCCTCCTACGCACTAACCAGGAATGAACCTTAGAACTGCGCTGACTGATACAGCACCTGCGAAGCGAGTTATGTCTCTCAAAGAGCCCACTTTGAAAATGTCTAAGTCGCATGCCGACAGCCGGTCGAGGATCCTCCTCACTGATTCACCTGATGATATTCATAGGAAAGTTAGAGCCGCTCTAACTGACTCGGACGCAAGCATAACCTATGATCCTGTTCATCGGCCGGGCGTGTCTAACCTTATAGAAATTCTAAGTCATCTCGACGGAAGATCCTGCGACGACTTATCTTTGGAGTACAAATCGGCGAGCCTTCGGGCTCTGAAAGAAGACCTGGCAAGTCGAATCTCGGGTCACCTGCAAGGAATAAGAGAGCGATACTATTCGCTCATAGAAGACAACTCTGGTTATCTGGATACTGTCTCAGAGCAAGGGGCCCAGGCTGCACGTGCAAATGCCGATGTGACTATGAAACAGATTAGAAAAGCCATGGGGCTGTGAGGGCTATTCATCCTTCCCGTCAGGGCTTCCATGACTATACATGGCCTTTGCTATCCCCTATGAGCAGTGAATGGTCCCGATCAAGGCGATAGAGCCAGCGTTTGCGTATACGTATATATCATGTATCTATCCTGTATTACTAGTATAATTTCTTCAGACTATCCCTAACCTTACATGGTAGTAATTCGGCCATATAAAAGTGAAAGTCGGAGTGGCCTCCCTATGTATAGTAATAGTGGATTCACTATCACTTGACGTACATTTTGTGTCAAAACTGCCCCCAGGTATTTGTTGCCCAAGTTAGGCAACATAATAACATGCGTGGCACTTGTTGAATGACAATACAAAAATTACATCTCGATTTCAGAATTCCAGTAGAAAGAGACCTTGGCTCGTTAATATCTTGGGGGTGGTATGTTGCCTGATTTGTTGTAAAGTTTATCTGAACGTCCCGAGACCTCCGATAACACAGAGTTGGGCTGACTCCCGAGCCAGCCGATTTCCCGGCAATGCCGCAAACTGTACTCCGTACTCCGTACTTCGTACCAGAAACCCCTACATCAGTCGTCTGGCTTTCTCTTAAGCCTGTGCCTGAAACATGTTACACGATAGGAGAAGGCCATATACCTAAGAATAACTAATAGTACCTATTATATAAGCCTAGTCAGTTTACGTAGGTACCGTTAGAGAATTTTCGATATTGTAGCCTAGCGTCTTTACAGAAGGTACTGTAGCCAGACGTAGAAACTTAGCATTATTAGTACCACTAGTACATGATGAATAATGATGATGATGATGATGACGACTACAAGCGTCACATTCGCATAGTCCCATTGGATTATTGATCGCAAGCCCCCACTCCGACTTAGCCGAGGCGGTCTGAGTGGAGTCCTGCACGATCTATAGTCGAGCAATCAACAGTACCAGACCGCATGCAGCGTACGACAACAGTTCCAAAGATTAGTGCTTTCCGTTACCATACAAGAACGCAGCCATGTCCCTATCAGCAATTGTACATCAGAGCTTCCCTTTAGGCCGTCTATACCTTCTCTTTTTTCAAATTTCTTTTCATCCTTTTTGATCCCATTGTCCCAACGTGAGATCGACTATTATTGTCTTTCAAGGTATAGTGAGTGGGCCGGAAGAGCTGTGTGCTCGTTTCCCAGTTCAGCGGCCTTGGTGAGTCCAGATTTATGCGACAAGAAGACCTGGAGCCTTCTTTCATGGGACTCAAATAAGAAAAAAAAGAATAAAGGAGATAGCACGATGCAAAAGTCCTGGCTTGTTTTGCTCGCTGCTTTCCTTGGCTTGCAAGGAACAACAGCGCTGACACTCCACCGAAGAGAGCTTCCGGCCGTTGTCTCGTTGGGTATCAAACGAAATAATGCCGTTGACCCTGTGGCTAGAGATCGGATGAGACGGAAGCGCGACAAGACCGTTGAACAGAATCTTGATAATGAGGTATGTCGGCCAGAACATTAAATCGGTATATGGCCGCTAATCTGCGACATAGGAAACGTTATATTTCTGTAACATAACTCTGGGCACACCAAAGCAAAGCCTACGGTTAGTTCTTGATACAGGAAGCAGTGACCTTTGGTGTAATGCAGCGAATTCGACGCTCTGCTCATCTAGAAATAAACCCTGCAATGCCTCAGGGTCTTACGACCCAACTTCATCTTCGTCATATGCCTATGCATCTTCGGACTTCAACATATCGTATGCTGACGGCACTGGAGCTGCCGGTGATTATGTTACTGACACTATCCAAATTGGAGGTGCTACCGTCAAGGACTTTCAGTTTGGGGTGGGTTACTCGTCTAGCTCCGCCGGTAGGTCGATGCCATCCTTCTCTATAGTATTAAAGCAAATTTGTGTTGTTGACTAACATACCTCTATCCAGAGGGTGTATTGGGAATAGGATACACAACGAACGAAGTCCAGGTTGGCCGGTTCGGTAAAAGTGCCTACGCAAATCTTCCTCAAGCCATGGTCAAAAACGGTCTAATTCAGTCAAATGCTTATAGCCTTTGGCTTAATGACCTGGGAGCAGATACTGGCTCGATTTTATTTGGAGGCGTTAATACGGAGAAGTATCATGGGGAACTGCAAACTCTGCCAATTCAGACGGTCAATGGGATCTATTCTGAGTTCATAATCGCACTAACTGGTGTCTCATTGAGCTCATCATCAAGTCAGCATAATTATTCATCTTCTAATGCTCTCCCAGCCGCAGTCCTACTTGACTCAGGAAGTTCTCTAACCTATCTTCCAAATTCCATTGTGCAAGACATCTATGATGACCTGGGTGTCACTTATGAGTCATCCAGCGGTGTTGGCTATGTGCCATGTAGCCTGGCACAGCAAAATATTAATGTGACCTACACCTTTTCGTCTCCTACTATTACAGTTGGGATTGATGAACTCGTTCTAAATGCAGGTGATCTGCGATTTCGAAATGGCGCGCGTGCATGCATTTTTGGCATTGTACCAGCCGGAGATAGCACTGCTGTCTTGGGGGATACGTTCCTACGCAGTGCATATGTTGTATACGATCTATCCAACAATGAAATCTCCCTCGCCAATACCAATTTCAACTCTACTCAGGATAATATCTTGGAAATTGGAACTGGCGACGATTCTGTCCCTGGAGCCACCCAAGTTTCAAATCCCGTCACTTCAGTTGTGGCCGATGGGTCTGGAGCCAGGATCGGGGGCCCAACTGGTGGGATCTTTACTGATCTGCCTTCAGCAACAAGTACTGGCGGCGCTGCAGCACCTGCCGGGCCAACAGATGTTCCAAAGCACTTGGTTTTTGGTGCAGCGGCTATTGGTTACGTGCTCGCTTTCTGATGTAGATGACTTTTCACCAGCAGATATCTTGTGTTCTTACATATTTTTTTCCGCTTGTTAAAGCCCACTGGCTGCATACTACCTGGTGATACCCTAGATCTTAGCTCTCTTTCTTTTCTGCTCTCCCCTTTCCTTTTTTTGAACCCTACCGTATCTTGTGATCTTGTGGGCACTTTTTTCTCCTCAGTAGGGTTGACGATTCGCCTGTACGTATTCGATGAATATCTATATCTATATATATATCGAACATTGCATATATGCCTAATCTACTCCTAATATATCGTGACAGCTCCGCGCTGTAGTCAGGGCACTACAGGCTTTCTATACTTCATTCGTTCCCCACTTTTCCCCCATTCGAAGGTTTCCGCTCCCTAACTGCCTTCCCACACCAAGAACAGAACATTGCTAACAAAGACTTTTACGGACCTCAACACCAGATCATGTGCCAATGCCACGTATTTCTAACCTAACCATCCTAAGGGCCTACCAGCAGAATCCACTCCTTCCGTTATTACTCCGAGAATGTCGATCGCATGACTCTGCAAAGAATGAACTTCGCTGGCTCCAGGAGAGGGCTAGTCGCTCGATTTCGTCCAAACAGGTTGCGCGGTCTACGCTTGCCCCCTTGGGATGGAGAAGGCTCCTTAGATCAATGTGCCATGCTCGATCGAAAGGAATGCCCCTACAGTATATCCTAGGCGATCAGCCCTTCGGCGAGCTCGACATTCTGTGTGAAAAGGATGTGCTGATTCCAAGGTACACCCAACTGCTTATTTTTGCTCTCATGATATTTCCAACAAAACCTCAGTATATCTAATGCGTTGATTTTCCTCCAGAGCAGAGCAGAAACGGAGGCATTCACTATACAAGCTGTCAAATTGATCTTGAACAGCATTCAGAGGCATGGGCGTCGTGAAATTGGTCAACATCAACGTTCTTTCCGTATAGTTGATCTCTGTACAGGTAGTGGCTGCATAGCGCTACTCTTGCATGCGCTCCTTGCCCCTCATATTGATCAGCTTTCAATACTCGGGGTTGATCTTAGCCCTGTAGCTATTGCACTAGCCAACAAGAACCTTGCACACAATGTTCAACAAGGTCTGCTTTCTAATCGTGCTGCAAATGAGGTTTCTTTCCAGCGCGGTAACGTTCTCCCCCATGACAGTAGTGGACTCCCTTCGGCAAGGGAAGTGCTGTGCAATTACCAAGGGCTTCCCTCTGATATGGAGCCAGAATGTGACGTGCTCATCTCAAACCCGCCATATATATCTCCTGAATCATTTCGAAACGGTACTACCTCACGTAGTGTCCGGGTTTTTGAACCAAAGCTTGCATTGGTTCCTCCGCCCAAAGCCTCTATTATCGGACCAGGGCTTGACAGACAGGAGGACCTTTTCTACTATCACATTATTTTGCTATCGTTTCAGGTTCGTACGAAGCTTTTGGTGCTTGAGTGCGGCGACCGCTCACAAGCTACGCGGGTAGCTGCTATTGTCAAAACATTGTCCAGCGGCTATCGGCTGAATGCCCTGTCCATCGAGGTCTGGTCTAGTTCTGGCACATTTATTAGTGACGAAACACCCCCCGAGTATGGGCCCTGTGCAGTTGTTGTGACAGCCATTCAATGAATGATTATATTGGTGCTATATATCTAAGTAAATATAATTTTTTTAAAATCTATATATATAATTGTCTATATTTTATATTTCTGTTGTATTTTTTATTTAGTATTTATTCTTTTATTTATGCTTTATATTTATTTTTTTACTTTATATTTTATACGTTTTTGTTTTTATTTTTTACTCTATACTTTCTTTATATTGCTTTTTTACTTATATTTATAGTCATTTTTTAGTTAACTTTTATTATATTGTCAATTAGTTTTAATTAGTTCTATTTCTACTAGTATACTATTTAAATTTATATCAGTATAGATATTATAAATGGATTTAAAAT